TCTGGCAGAAGCTGCTCTGTCCCCAGGCTGCAGGCAGAGCCACAGTCAGCAGAAAACCCCAGCCCTAGCGCCCCACCTCCCCAGACCCCAGCTTGGTCCGGGACAGCTGGCCTGGGCCTCTGCCTTCGCTGTACAGATGGGGAAACTGAGGCCCCAAGATCACCACGCAATTCAGTGGCCCAGCCGGGGCTCATCCTGCCTGGCACGCTCTCCGGGCGCTCCTCTGAGGAGGTGGCCGTGAGCCTGAGCTCCGTCTGCCACCTCCTTTCTCTCCAGGAAGAGTCACCTCGTGGTGGCTGGGGTATCTGATCACGGCTCCGAGGAGGAGGCTGTCCAGGTGCTGAGGATCGCTGAGGTACAGACGGCCGGGCGGGCAGCCAGGAGGGTGGGCCCCTGGGGCACAAAGGAAAAGGAGGGCGGGGGCGGGGGCGGGGAGTGGGCAGACGACCCCGGCCGGCGGCTCAGGCCTCACCCCACAGGCACCTCTCCAGTCTGAGCTTTCTTCTCTTTCCCACATAATAAATCTCCTTTACAAGCACAGAAGGTTGTTTCTGATTATAAGCTTTGCTCATTGTAGAAAAACGCAAAATACGTCACATGCCATCTCCCCAGCACCCCAGAGATTTGGTCTGTTCAGCCTCATCTGGGTTCCCTTCTCAACACTCTGCCCCTTTAGCACCGCCGGCCCCTCCCAGTCTGCAGGTCTGTGTGCCCCTAAAATCTCCCAAGTCCTCCCTCTGTGGCCTACCCAGCCCCCACCCTTTCCACACAGGTCTTTGAACACCCCCTGTGGGACCTGCGCACAGTCCGAAATGACATCGCCCTGCTGAAGCTGGCCACGCCCGTGAGCCTCTCCAGGACCGTGTCCGCCGTGTGCCTGCCCAGTGCCAACGCCAGCTTCCCTGCGGGCTCCCTGTGCACCACCACGGGCTGGGGCAAGACCCGGTACAACGGTGAGTGCCCTGAGGACGTTTCAGGAGTGAGACTCATTCTGTTTTCTGGTCTAAATTCCAAACACAATCATAAATTGCAACAGTCAATAAATCTTCCATTTCTTTACTTAAAACCCTCTTAATGAAAACCCTACCAAACATGAATAAAAATGAGGGTTAATAATACATACGTAAACAGTTTCTGAAGAAACACCTAAGTACCAGCAAGTCTCGCCCCCTCTCACCTGCAAGGAGAGGTACAGCCCGGATTTCCCTCCAGGCTGAGGAGGGCGGGTGTGTCTAACGCCCCTGAAGTCTGGGCCCGGAGTCCAGTGTCCTGGTCGGGTTCGGGCTTGAGCGCCCAGGTGCCCCCGCCCGGCCCCCCCGCCCCCCCCACCCCCCCAGCGCTGCTCCCTCCGCAGGTTCTTCCTCGGAGTCCTGAGTTCTTCTGCCCCGGCCACGGCCCCCGGCTGGTCCCGTAACAGGACAGAAGCAGCTGGGAAAGGGCAGCAGGAGGGAGGTGCTCCCTCGGGGGTCCCCTCCGGTGTCCCCGGTCAGAAAGACGTGCATCCCCTTCCCTGAGGGGGGAAGGACGGCCCCTCCACCCGCACACAGTGGCTGGCAGGGCCCCAAGCGCACGGGGCTCCGAGGCAGGACCTGTTGCAGCAGCTGCTGGGAGCACAGTCCCCGCTGCCTGGTGTGGAATCGCAGAGGAGCCGCGTCCCAGACTCCCTGAAGGTGTCAGGGAAGGTTCGAAGCTCGGTGTCTGCGGTCATCACGATGGAGGAAGACTGGGACCCTGCAGGAGGGTGGGCCCTGGTCTCTTCTCCCCAGGGGCGGGCTGGTGGCATGAGGGGCCCCGACCCCACGCCCTCTGTCCTTCCAGCTCTCAAGACCCCCGACAAGCTGCAGCAGGCGACCCTGCCCATCGTGTCCAACGCCGACTGCAAGAAGTACTGGGGCAGCAAGATCACCGACGTGATGATCTGTGCGGGCGCCAGCGGCGTCTCCTCCTGCATGGTACGGCCTGGCCCCGCCACCCTGCCCGCCCTCACTGCCCGTGCCTCCCCTGGCCAGGCCAGGAGGCCCACTCCTCTCTGCCATGACCTGTCTAACTTCATGCCCTGCCCAGTGCCCCAGTGAAGCGCTGGACCAGATGCCCCTGGTGAGGGCCAGCTCTGGCCAGGTGTGGTGTGGGGCTTCCCAGGCGTATTTAATCTCACACCAACCCCACGAGCTGGACGCTTCAGCCTGTTTTACAGCTGATGGGGAGGCTGAGAGGATAAGCCACCTGCCCCAGGGCCCTCCACGAGTAGGTGGCAGGGCTGGGGCTGCCATCTGAGCAGATCTGAGTCTCTTGTGCACAACCACTGGGCCCCCACTTGTGCTTTGTCTGCACCCCTGGACTTGCCAGGTCAGGGCACACCAGGGCCCTGGTACTCCCTTTCAGGCTTGAATACAAGTCCTATCTCCTCCTGCAGGGCGACTCTGGTGGCCCCCTGGTCTGCCAGAAGGATGGGGCCTGGACCCTGGTGGGCATCGTGTCCTGGGGCAGCGGCCGGTGTGGCCCGTTCTTACCAGGCGTGTATACCCGGGTCACCAAGTTTATTCCCTGGGTTCTCGAAGTTCTGGAGGCCAACTGAGCCTCTGCCCTGCCCCAGCCCCCATGTGTGTAAAACCCAAATAAAACTGCTCGCATCTTCACTTCTGTGCCTTCGCCGGGGAGGGAGGATGGCTGCCTTCACTGAGGTCCCCTCTGGAGCTCAGAGCGGAGAGAGCTGGCAGATACCCAGCCCTATTCCCTTCTTCACAGAGACGGGGGAAATGAGACTGAAGTTCACATGCAGAATGGTGAGAGCTCGGAGCAGGACTGCTGGTCCCCAGAGCCCTCACCTTACTTGGGCTGCCAGACATACCCCCGACCGCCGGAAAGGGGACCACTGACCCAGGGTGAGGGCCCCTCCTGTCCCCTACCTCCCAACTGGGAGTCCAAGTCCATGTGTAATTCAAATGGACACTTGTGGAGAAGTTCCACAAGCTGAAATTAAGAGCTTCTTTCCAAGAGCTACGTTCTGGATAAGGCCTGTGAAAGCAAGTTTCTCTGCGTGGAACAGTGTATCTCCCAGCGGTGCCCCCAGCGGGGCACCCTCTGCCTCGGGATGCAGGGGCCCCAGCAGGGCTCACTGGCTCCTGGAGCTGCTCCCACCCGCACAGCACCCTGCAACTGCCTTCACCTTGGCCGCCTGCCCAGGGACCATGCTGGATTTTCATCAAACCTCGGCAACGGCTGCGCCCTTGGCCACTGTGCTCACATTGAGCCTTTCTGGCCTCAAGCCCTGGATTCTGACGGCTGCTCTTCAGCCTCACTCCAGCTGCCCAGGCTCCCCCCACCTCAGCTCCCGGCCCAGCCCCGCTTCCCCAAGCCTTCCTTTTCTGCTGAAGGGAGCCACCTTCTCCTCACCCTCCCGAGGCGCTGCCCACAGCCTCGCCACAGATCTCCCCAATGCGTGACTCCACCTGTGGCATCCAGAGTGGCAAACACCTGCCCTCCCGCTCACAGGTCCTCTTGCCTCTCACACCTCAGGAGAATGCTTTTCATTTTTTAAATTTTATTTAAATGTAGACTATTAGTCAAATGATTGGAAAATCAATAATGAAAAATAGTTTTTTAGGGTTTTCTCCTGGTGCAGAGAGAATACACCACAGCCACGCTTGCCCTGCCAGGGGGACACAGCACCCTCATGGTCAGCCCGAGGGGACACCTGAGGCCATGTGGGTCAAGCGGTCTGCGAGCCCCCAGCCCGGCCCCGAATGTTGGGCACCCCCGGGCCCTCAGCACGCTCAGGAAAGACGGCCAGCCACTCCTGGCCTGGGCTCCGGGGCCCAGCTCTGCTCGGGCTCCTTTGAGGAGGCACCGTCCCACATCCTGCCCCGCCATAAATATACACAAATCCCTGTACAGTCTGGGGCACCAGGCCCGGGTGGAGCTGGGGTCGCCTGTCCCCATGCCCGCAGCATGGTGGCTCTCTGGGGCCCATCGCCACCCTCCTCCCCTTGCCCTCCGTCCCTCTGGCTGACGGCTCTCAGGCAGCTGCCAGCTGGCCCAGGACCCGGCGGAACTGCTGGGTGCTGTGGCCCAGCTCCTTGACCCTGTCCACCATGTCCTGGGCGGCAGCAGGCGACGGGTACTGGAGGGCAGCGGCCTTGGTGGTGGCCACGATGCCGCGCAGGAGGTCACACAGCAGGTTGCTGTAGTGGGTCACCTGGCTGCGGACGTCGGCCGCCTTAGCCTGCCGTGACAGTGTGTCCCCGATGAATACCAGCTTGTGAGCGCTGAGGATGACAAACTTGCTATGTGCCACGAAGATTTTGGGGGGCTGGTTGGTGGCTACGGCGGTGAAGAAGGCATCCACGGCGTTAGTGAGCGTGCTCAGGTTCGCCTCGCACTGCTCCAGGTAGAAGAGCAGCAGCTGCCGGTCCGAGGGCCCCAGGCCGCCCGTCCGGCCCGGGGCCAGGGGCTGGGCTGGCATCCAGTTGGCCAGGTCATGGTCTATGGGCCGTGACACCTCCTGCTCCAGCCGTTCAAACTGCTTCAGCTGGGGAAAAGGGAGAACAGAGTGAAAACCACGGCCACAGAGCAAAAGGGACAGAGAGGGGGCCCTGCTGGCCCTCTGAGTGACAAAGCTTAGAGTCAGCGGGCAGGGGAACAGGCCACCTCTGTCCTGCTGGCCAAGCGCGTACCCCTGCCCGCCTTCTGGACGGTCTCCAAATAACTTTCCCACCAAAATCTCAAATAACTCCGTTTATATAACATTTTTGAAATGACAAAATGCTAGAAATGGGAACAGATGAGCAGCGGCAGGGGTGAGGGATGTCAGTCCCTTGGTTTGGGTGCTGTTATCTAGTGACTTCAGATGTGGTCACTGGGGGAAGCTGGGAGAAGGGGACACAGGACTGCTTTGTCCTTTCCTTCAAACTTTCTATGAATCTACAAATATTTCAAAATGAAAAGTTAAAAAAAATTTTTTTCTCCTTAACATATGCAGTGTAAAAAGATAGTTTTCAAAGACACCAAGCAGAAAGAAAGATAGTTACCAACTGGAATCCCGTGCACCCAGAAATCTGTTAAATCTCTGGTAAATCGTCTTTTAGAAATATACACTGACGTATTTGCAGATGAAATGATGTAACGTCTTCAAAATGATCGGGCGGGGTTGTGTGTGTGTGTGTCACCGGGCGGGAAAGGGGGCTACATACACTGGATTAGTTGTGCTGAGAATGGCTGGGGCTGGGTGAATTGTACCCGGGGTTCCTTTTCTCCAGTGGGTACCTGGGGGACTATTTTCCTCAATTTTATACATGTATTAAATTTCCCATAATAAGAATTTTAAACAAAAGCAAAAAGGTCATGGTATTTGCAAATTTCAGAAAACAAATATTCACAGCAAAAACCAGTGAATATTCCTCAAAGACGTCTTCCTTTAAACAGGAATATTCCTACTTCCTTTACAATTAGAAAACCGGAAACACACAATGTATAATATTTTATAGCCTACCTTTAGCACCCAACAACGGGTCATTCATTTCCTATTAGTGAGAACGTATAAAGCACGTGGTAAAAGTTTCCACCAGCAGCAGCCTTGCCTAGGCATCAGCGGTGTAGACTTACACATCCTCACCACAAGCTGGTTCTGACTGGGTCGTTGGGACCAGCCGTGCACACAGACTCAGGGACTCAGGTACTTGTCTAACCAAGGTTTCAGGCTTTACTTCAATTAGCAAACCAGCGTGAAACTGTCGCTTCCTAGCATGTGAAACCCTCTTTCTTTCCCTCCTAGGCTACCTGGTGAAACTTGCTTGGCTCTCCTGTCCAGCGCGAGAATACACTCATTTTTGCTCTGTTTTACCTTCAGTGGGTCTTCTTCATTCTTTGACAAATTCTTGGTAGCTGCACAATGTTCTACGTACGAACGCTCACACTGTATTCAACCAGTACTCTACTGTGAGGTATTTGGTGGTGGCAGCCAGGGGCTGTTTCCAGATTTTTCACTGATGCAGAAATGGAGTGACAAACGTCCCTGTCAGGGTATTTTATGTTCCTGTATTTTATTTGTACTTGATGTCCCTGGCTTAGGAACTCTAGATCTTTAGTTTCTCACTCACATTCCTTTTATTCCAGCTTCTAGTAATTTATCTAAGTGACTGACCAGATATGTGAAGAGATTTAGTCAGTACAGCTTTGTTTACAAAAGTAGCTCTGGGAACAAACTAAATGTCCGCCGACACGGGACTGGTTAAATAAATGCTGCAACAGTCCAGAGGAAGACAAAGAAGATAAAGCACATGCCCATTTCCTAAGTCAGTGGAGATTCCATACATATATAATTATTAACATCTGTATCTTTATTGAACATGTTCTATGTGCCCAGCACCTCCTAAGTATTACATGTTGTTTATTCATTTAATTCTCACATCGACCCCAAGACGGATGCAACTACGCTTCCCGCTTGACAGCTGGGGAAACGTGGCTTTGAAAAACGCACACCATGGCCCGGGTCTCGGGGTGAACCTGGTAGGCTCTCTCCTACACCATCCTTCCCCATGCCCAGGGAAGGTGGGGTGAGGAAAACTTTCCGGGTGATATTTCTGTGTTAATTTTGTACTAGACTATATTTTAATTTTTAAAATCTTCATAATCAAAATAAAACTCCCTTAAAAAAAGAATATACTGGACTCCCCTGGTGGCACAGTGGTTAAGAATCCACCTGCCAATGCAGGGGACACGGGTTCGAGCCCTGGTCCGGGAAGAGCCCGTGTGCCACAAGTACTGAACCTGCGCGCTACAGCCCACGAGCCACAACTACTGAGCCCACGTGCCACAACTACTAAAGCCTGCGAGCCATAACTACTGAGCCCATGTGCCACAACTACTAAAGCCCGCTCGCCTAGAGCCCGTGCTCCGCAACAAGAGAGGCCACCGCAATGAGAAGCCCGCGCGCCGCAACAAAAAGTAGCCCCCGTTCGCCGCAACTAGAGAGAGCCCGTGCTCAGCAATGAAGACCCAATGCAGCCAAAAATAAGTAAATAAATAAAAATTTTAAAAAAATCTCTCTCCTACTCTATGGAAACAAACCAAAATATGAAGAAAATCCAGTGTCCTTAGATAAACACAGTAGTATTATTTACAATAAGAAAAACTGGGTACAACGTAAACATTCAACCATAATAGACACAGGTTGACTTTAAAAACAACTTATGACGAATATTTAATGCCATGGAAACATTGTGATAAAAGCAGACGTAACTGTTCACAAAGTAGCATCTCAAACACGGACAGGGGCCCCTTCCGAGGCAGGAGCAAGACCGGAAACCAGCCCCAGAGCACGGTGACCACCCCTGAGGGTGAATGGCTTCTTTTCTGTCTTCACACTTTTCTGTGTGCGCTGAGATACCTAACCGTGATTACTCTGATAATAACCTAAACATAAATCCAACGAACACACGGAGACCGTCATGCAGTTGAGTAGGGACGGGCTGAGCAGGGAGGGCCCTGGGAGGCTCAGCTTAGGCGACAGATTCTTAGGGACACCTGTGCTGGGAGAGGCTGGGGAACCTGAGTGTCCTCACCTGCTGCAGCTCCAGCTGGCCCTTCCCCTGCCGCATTATGTTGCCCTTTTCCAGCAACTCCTTCTGGGTCTTCTCAAACTCTTCCTTCCCCTGGAGGGTAGACACAAGGATGCAGCTGAGCCAGAAGCCCCCAGAGGCCCAGCGGGGTGCAGTGAGACCAGCGGCCACCAGGTGGCGCTGCAGCTGCACCCAGGCTCCCACTGTGACCTCAGGCCCAGGGTGGGGGCAGCTTCCGGAGGAAGCAGCTCTCCCGGGCCTCTTTCACCTCCTAACCAAAGGAAGGGGCTAGGCACACTCCACACGGCCATGCCAATCTTCCCTGCCCCAGCTCCCATGCCAGGAATCACATCCAGGCCCCTCCCCTCGGCATACAGGGTCTGCCCACCCATCCCTGACCACTGGGCCTTGGCACCTGCTGGCTCTCAGCCCGAAATGCCACTCACCGGGATGCCCAAAAGGCTGGCACCCTGGCCTCTGCTCAGAGGCCCACCCCACCTCACCCATCGATCACCTTGCTTGTTTCCCCCACACCTGCTACTATCTCTGTCTTTGCTTGTACTTCAGAATTCACCTCTCCAAATCCCTAACCTCTGGCCTGGCCACGAGAGGCCCAGCCCTTGCAGGTGTTCAGGGGCCCTCCCTGGCTGGCACTGCAGGATCCCTGATGTCGGGGCCACATGGGTCCAAAGGCCTGAGACAGGCTGAGGATGGGCTTCCAGGGACCCATATGGCCTGGAAGGTCCAAGTGAGGAGGGCACGGGGACTCAGCAAGGCCTTCCTGGGGACCACACCTTCCTTTGGCCACAAGAGCCCTCTGTGGGGGGGAATCAGGGTGCCCACGACAGGGTGGCAAAGTCAGAGCCCTGAGAGGACCAGGGGACTTCACCAGGGGCCCAGGGAACCTGGGCAGAGCGGGCACCCACCTGCAGGTGGACGTAGTCATAATCCTCCATCCAGCCTCCCTCACTGTTCTCGTACTGCCCGTCAGGCGAGTCCTGGGAGGTGAACTTAGGGGGTGAGGGCAGGGGCCGGGACTGGATGCTGCTGGCCTTGTCGGTGGGGTTGGGGTGCAGGGGGCCACCCCCCTCAGGCCCTGGGACAGAGGCCTTGGTCCGTCTGAAGAGCAGCGAGGCGTTGCCATGCAAGAAGGAGGCCAGCTGCTTAACATCCTCGGGCACAGCCCGCGAGCAGGCCACCAGGCGGTCCAGGTCTTCGGGAGTGGCCCCCAGGCCTCCCCGGCTACTGTCAAGGGCCTGACCGTGGGCCACCAGCGTCTGGTACACGTCCTCCATCTTCTGCAGTTGCCGGCTGAGCTTGGCATGCAGCGTGCGGTCGGAAGTGTGGGCGGCATTGCCCACAGCGCTGCGGGCAAACTCCAGCAGCTCGTGGACGGCCCCGTGGACAGCGGCCACGGCAGCCCGCAGGTCCTGTGCCGGAGGCTCCTGAGGCTCAGAGGTGCTGCGCCAGCCCCCACACCCGCCCGCACTGGCTGCCAGGTCCAAGAGGTGGGCCACGGTGGCGCTCACGCCCTGCTGCAGCCGTGCCAGGGCCTCCACGGCCACCTCCAGCTCCAGGGGCTCACGGCCCGGCACCACTGCCTCCAGGGAGGAGGCCGACTGGCTGCTGCGTGTGCTGCCCGTGCTGGAGGCTGACAGGCGCTTGGCGTCGGCCGGGGCCTCTCGCTCGGCAGGGGGGGGGACCGCGTACACATCGTCGTCGGCCACGCTGCCGTTGGCTGCCTCGGGAGGAAGGACCCGCTCTCGGGGCACGTCGTAGAGGGTGCCCGGGCCAGGCCGCCGCAAACCGGGGGGCACGTCGTAGAGGTCAGGAGCCGGGGGCGGCACGTCGTACACGTCCTCAGCTGGTGGCGAGTCCGGAGGGGGTGCGGCGAGCACCAGCGGGTGGCGGGTCGGGTCAAAGGGCTTGGCCTTGGCGAAGGCGGGGGGCACGTCATAGGTCTCCTCACGCAGCAGTGGTCCGTCGGGCACGTCTTTGCTCACCGATGGAGGAACATCGTACACCTGGGGGCCAAGAAATGGTCAAGGCTACCAGCCCATCTGCCCACCCGGGAGCCTACGGGCAGCACCCAGTCACACACACAGACACAGCCCAGCGTGCACATTTGTCATGATTCTTATTCATGCAGGTTACGGTTGAGAGCCTGACTTTGGGGCCAGACCAGAGCTCGAAATCCTGGCTCCATTGCTTACTACCTGCGAGACCTAAGGCAAGTGACTCCACCTCTCTCTGTCTGTCTGCTCACCTATAAGATGGGAAAACTCCCTCACAGGTTTGTTGTGAGGATTACATGAGCTAATTCACTGCGTACCTGCAAACGCTCAGTGAGAGGTCAGCTATCATACCACTGCCGCCGCCACCATCAGCACCACCGTCACCACCATCACCGCCCACGTGACCACCAGCATCACCATCACCACCACGTGCGTATTCTCTACTCTGTGGCAGGTACCTGGCTGAGCTATGTGCAGGCTGTATTTAGGGTGACAACACCCTGGTTCGCCCAGGACAGTCCTGGTTTGTGCCTGATGCCCCCTCATAACTATCTTGTCATTCTCCTTTCACTCTCAGAAGTATCCTGGTTTGGATGATAAGTCCTGTGGTCACCTTGCTGATATCCTGTGTGATCCTCTCAAGAACCTCCTGAAAAAGGCCTTACAAGGGACCCTTTTACAGATGAGGAAGCTGAGACTCAGAGGGGCTCAGTTTCCACCTCTGTCACAGAGCGAGTGAGGGGCAGAGCCGGGGTTTGGAGGCAGGTCTCTCAATGCCCCGGCTCTGCAGACCTGAGTCCCCCACCCCAGGGCACGCACACACACTCACACCCAGAGCCCCATGCACAGATCGGGCCTCAGCCTGTGAGGGCCCAGCATCCCCTAAATGCTTACCGCATGATGGCTGGACGGCGGCAGGCCCTTCTCCACACTGGGGGGCACATCATACACGTCCAGCGATGGATCCCGGCCATTGGGACCCTTGACAGCCATGGGGGGCGTGTCATATACCTGAGGGCAGAAAAGGTGCAGTAATACAAGTGCCAGGGCCACCTGAGGGGACAGAAAGAGTAGAAACCCACAGCTCTACCCCAGGACCACCCAGGTTGGGGCCAAGAAAGCCCAGCTCTCCGTGCAGGGCCAGGCTGAGGATCCCGCCATACCCACCGGCCCCGACACCTACCTCCTGGCCGTACTGGCTGGGAAGCAGCCCCCGAACAGGGGGCACGTCGTAGATGTCCTGGGGCCCCGGGGCCAGCAGGTGGCGTGGGATGTCATACTCGTCCTGCTCGGGCTGGGGGGCCTCGAACACATAGCCTTGCCCCACACGGGTGGACACCGCCACCTGGGGGCAGACAGCCAACCGTCACCAGCGGCCCTGGAGAGATTCCACCGCCCCGTGAGGTGAGCAGGACATACGTAAGGGGGCTCCCCAAGGGTGGTCTCAGAGGCAAGGGTGTCCGCATCCCTTCGTATTCCCTGCCCTCTCTCTCTTCAATGAAATGCAGCACGTGGGGAATACAAGGACCCCCACTATTTGTTTAGAGCCGTCTGGTTCTGGCAGGAAACAGAAGTGGTCTCTATAGCTGAATGACCCAGAAGGTTCCAGAGGAGAGAACATGTGGGCTGATGGAGGAGGGGCCACCCTTGACTGAGGTGCCCCTGCTGGATGGCACCTCCAGCTGCACGCTCCTTCGAGAGGCCTGCCCAGCAAGGGGTTGTCCCTACTATAGGACCCAGCAGCCACCTTCAGGCTCCAGGACAGATGGAGGTGGCAGTGGTGGCCTGTGCCCTTCTCGGGCTGGACCCAGAGGAGGTGGCCTGCAGGAGATCCTGACAGTCAGGGCCTGGGGGCTCCAAGCCCTGCCCTCCTCGTCCCCCCAGCACTCTTGGGGAGATTCCTGAGAACGGGGCCACCAAGAACCCCCAGCCCCTCAGGGCCAGCTCTCCCGCAAATGGAAGGATGGAAGCTGTTTTGGCAAGTTGTGTGTGGGTGTGAGGGACTGACGAAGACCAGAACCAAGACCTGTATTCCCCATCGCACCACACCCTCGGGGCCATGGGGACCACCCCTCACCTAACAGGATAAGGCCTTCGTGGGGGGATGTTGGCCCAGAGAGGAGGCCAGCCCCTTCCCTCCCTGGTGCCCCTCCCCTGTCCCGAGGTGCAGGGCAAGAGCCCGCACCGCTCGCAGGCAGTGTTGGGTGGGCAGCCTCCTTCCCTGTGGGCACCCGGCCCTGTGGGAGGGGTCAGCCCTGTAGGAGGGGCTGGCAGGATCTTCTAACCCAGCTCAGGGCACACCTCCTCCACAAGGCTCCTGGCTCAGCTCTTCTCTGACAAAAAGGCCTTTTGTTCCCTAATCAAATGGGAGGTCTGGGACAGCGGTGACTCAGGCACTCCCCCACACACATCCCTGGGGACAGCAAGGCGGAGGGAGGGACTGCCCTGGGGCTCATGCACCCAGAACCCTGCATCCCATGCCTTGCGCAGCCCCCAGAACACCAACAGCCAGCTCTGCAGGCCCATGGGCCCTGGAGGGCACAGACTGTGTGCACACACCGGGCACCCCAGGAGCAGCAACGACCCCGCTGAAGTGCAGGCACCATCACTTTCTGATCAGCCCAGGGCTCGGCAGAGCCTCCTGCTGATGCAGCCCCTGGTCACCTCCCAGGCAGGCCGGCAGAGCTGGCTCCCTGTCAGCTGCTGGGGTGAGCGCCGCCAGCGGGTGTTCCAGGCCCACTGCACCCCACCCCCGGTGTGTCTGGGAGTGGTGCTGGCGGCCCTTCCCAGACTCCTTTCTCTCCTCAGGCCCCAGACTTGAGTCTCCTCCAGAGCTATTTTTAGACCCTGGAACCTGCCAAGGGGGGGGGCTGGCGGGACGTGGCAGGTTGGCGGGGCCTTGAGGCGAGGCCTGAGGTGTCTCCAGGCCCTGCTGGCCTCAGAAGGCAGGTGGGGACCCAGCCCAGGAGGAGGGGTATGTGCTGCCCTCTCCACACCCCGACGCTGGTGAGAGAGGGCGGGGCGCAGGCGGAGGGGCGCTGGGGCTGGACCCCAGGCCTGGGCCGCGGGCAGCTGGCCACTCACGCGGCTGAGTCAGTGACAGTAAGCAGCCATACTGGCCAACAAATGTTTTCTGTTAGAAAAAAAGGCAGGCAGCCACCAGCGGGGTGGCGGGGGGGGAAGCTTGTTAGGGAAACCAACTCTCCAGAGAGCCGCTGAGTCCGCTAATCACAGGCCACCCAGCTCCACACCTGGGGCCCCATTAGCAGAACCTGGAGCCCCCTGGGGCTGGCGGACAAAGCCAGAGTCTGGGAGGAGACACAGAGCCCAGCCCAAGACCCACAAGCTCTCTCACACACACATCTCAAGGGCGCAGAAGACAGACACGCAGAGGCAGAGAAAACACGCACAATGCCCACTGCCAGACGCACACCCGGACACACAGACCCAGGCAGGGCAGGCTCATCAGGGCGCCTGCAGGAGTGAGAAGGGAGGCTGAAGGCTCCCAAGACCCCAGGGACGGGGCAGGCCGCCTGCTGCCTTCTGCCTGGGCCCATGAGGACCTCCGGGCCGCCTGGCTGCCTGGCGCCCTTCTGAGAAATGGGCATCTCCCCTCGTGGCCCAGGCCGGCTCGCTCTGTCACCGCCGCCCCCCGTCCCCCCTCTGAGAGCCTCGGGTTCCTGCTCTGGAAAACGGAGCACCGCTGGGGGACCTGGGGGACGGAGGCACACGCCTGATGTGGGTCCCCTCCCTCCCAAGCTCCTGTCCTCCCAGAAGGAACAAGGCTGAGCTGAGCTGTGTCTTCCCCAGCCTGACCCAGCGCCGCAGCTGTTCCCTCAGGCACAGCTGCAGCCCTGACCCAGAGCTCCCCCAAGAGTGACTGGGGACTGGGGAAGCTCATCTCCAGGCCTCCTCATACATTACACAATCCCGTGACAAGCAAGCACACTTTCATGGACCATAAAATAAAAGCAGCCGCGATGGAGACTGCCCAGGCCAGGAGCCATGAGGCTTCTCAGGGGAGGGCAACCAGGTCCCAGCACACAGAGCTTTCCTCCTGGGGCCATCAGCCCGGTCTGGGTCCTCAGGGACACAGGGCCTGGGCAACCCCACCAGTGGGCATGTGCAGAGCACGCACCAGCCAGGTGAGCTCAGAAGCAGTCTGAGAGCAAAGCCCCTCATATGGGAGGGAAACAGTACCAATGACCAAAACGTGGGCTCAAATCCACAGCCCGGAGTAAAGGCCTCACTGCTGCTTCCTGAGCCACAGGGCTTCCACTGCCTGTCCTGGCCTTGGAGCTGCACCAAAACAAGCTTGCCTGGACTCGGGAAAGGAGAGGAGGGAAAGGGGAAGGGCACGCCTCCCTGGGGAGTGTGCACAGGGTGAGCTGTGTGTGGGCATGCGCGCAGAGGGATGGCCTATGGCCTGTCCCAAGGCTAACCACCAGTCACTCCTCCTCACCCAAAGCCATCCTGGGAGCAGCTCAGTCTGGGCTATCCCAGTCCAGCATGGCTCACTTCTGCCCCTGGCCTGTCTGGCCAGGCAGTTGAAGGAGCAGGTAGGGAAGTGGAGCCAGTGACCCAGAGTCCCCTGGTGGCCAGTGTCCATGGAGCCCCAACCTGAGCCAGCCAATGACCTGTGTCCAGGTCTCCCGCTCCAAGCTCTGCCTGTGGCGGGGCAGGGCAACACTGCATG